TTAAAGTCTGACTCTTGTTTGAATGGTGTCAAAACATACAGTTGTCACTTAGTTCACGAGAACTGAAAAGAGGCAGGTGGGCTTGTACCCGCAGCTGAGCTGTCCAGTTCTTAAGGTCAGCTGGCAAATGACCTCTGACAGAGCAGCATATCCCCATCCTCATTTCTTAACGTCTTACACTTTGTCTTCTTACTTTTCCACTACATTTTTTTTATACATATCCACTTTTTTAAAGTTAGTGCATGTTCATTTGATGTTGTGTAACCGGGGTATAGTATAGAGACCCAAAGGCGACCGGTTACAGTTGCATATTTTGTTTTGGATCATTCATGCTGAGGGACGGGCTTTAGTCATTTTTTTTATTGTGTACTTTGCTTTCTAGTGAACTTTTGTGCTGGTTGCTGAGACTGAGCCGACAAGCTTCATAAACAAAAACTCATCACCATGTCCATTTCTCCCTTACTCTCCTATTGTTTCCTGACTCTTCCTTCCTATAAATCTTCTCTTCATCTGCTCAGTCAAACTAATCCAAACCATGACCCTTGACCCTGCGCACCTCTTTAAATGTCACATGACCGTGCAGGTGTGGAGGGGTCTCTGCCCTGGCCGACCCTCAATTAGTGACCCTAATTAGTGGAGGGGACCCCCTGATGGGTCGCTGAGCTGCTTTTGGGGGGGCAGATAAAGGAATGCATCGCTGCCTGCTTGTGTTTGTGTGTGTTTCTGGAAAAGGACCCTCCGGAAAACACACATGAACACACACGGCGACTGTTAAAAGAAAAGCAGAGTCAGTGTGGAGCTGAGAGTTCATTTGTTGATGCACAACAAGCAGCTTCTGTGCAGATCTGGAACTGACCTTACGCTCTCACTTGCACACAAGGCTTTAAGCATCAAGTGTACATGACAGAGCGTTTCATGCTTCCTTTCATTTATTTCCCCCCTGACTCAGTGTGCTTCATTGTTGGTTTGTAAAGGAACAAACAGATTACATACAGTTCAGATTAGGAACTCACACCAAGCGTTTTGAAGCAAAAGTATCTCACACTGTTTTATCTGTTTTTAATTTGTATGCAACATGAAACGGCTAAAGTTATCGGTGCAATCCTGAGTTTACAGTGTTGGCGGTTTATTGTGACAAGCTGTTGCCATAATATCAGCCAAAAATATTCAAGTCAAGTCTTATCGTTTGCAGTAAAAGCAGCTCCTGTTCAGCACAAAAGATTAAGGACTATCTTAATTTTATCGGTTACCAATTAAAAACAGTAATAAAGACCTAATTAGTTGGGTCCCGTTGCTGCTCACTGGAGGCTGTTTACCACCACAGTTGGTTCCTCTGCTGCAGGGCAGCTCCTCCCATGCATCCCCTCCCTGTTCTGCTCCCCACCTCTAAAACAGGCCACCCGTCTGGTCTCCTTTCTGCTGGGCCTCTCCCTTCGGCCTCACTCAAATGAAGGTGCCAAATACTATAATTGGCACCCTGCAGGTCAATTGTCCCAGCCCGGAGAAGTGCCCCATGCTGAAGTCTGGGCTAATACGGGGATATACTGTATAAAGTGTGTTACCTTTACAGCTTTATATGACTTGCTCTGTCTCTGCAGATTATTCTTCATTTGACATGTGAGTGATAGCGTTTTGGTAAGAAATCATTAAAATGTGATTTACCTGACAGGTATAGGTGTCTGATTGCTGCGATGACCTGCATTCTGAACAATAACTCAGAGCCTCAAACAGCCATTGTGTGATAGTGACCAGACTTCATGTCGCTCCATCATGCAGGCCTAGCGATGGAGAGATAAACTGTTGAATATTCAGAGTTTAAAAAAACTTTTTGGGACAGTCAGTTATATTCAGTAAGTGTGTCCATCCATAAAACAATCCTTAAAATGGTGAAAAGAAAACATTTCGATACAACAGCTGCTGTCAAATTCATAATATATTTTGTCATTTTTACTCACTTAAGTCTTGCTGTCTGTGCATGTCTTCATTCAGTGACACACCAAAGCTATATGATGATAAGACGCACAATCAGTGCATCTACAGGAAAAACAAATATGTCATAGTTCCACTGAGGCACATTTAAGTGCAACACCATCATTTATATAAGCTTCATTCATTTGGCAGCATGTGCTACATTTAATTCACTGTTCTCTTGTCTGACTTTGCACCGCCTCTCGCCTGCCGTTCAAATCAGCCAGCATTGCTTTAAGCAGCCTGAGGCCGCCAGGCCTGGCTGTGACCAGCCGACAGCACCAAGGCAGGTGGTCATATTGTCGGACAAGAACACTTTTCAGTGCTGGGAATTCAACAGTATCCTTTTGAAATCTAAACAGGGTTTTGCTTGGTGCCTGTTCTGCAGGCTCCATGTTACAACAGTAATATGTAACTAAAGTTGTGTTGAAGAACCTTTTATAATAAACTTTATTGCCAAGTTTGTCATCTCTGTCTCACCCTGTCTTAACTGTCCTGTAAAGGCAAATGCCATCAAAACAATCAAAAGATAAAACACAGATAAAAGCAAGCAAGAGGAATAATTCATTAGTAACATTTACTAAAAATGCTAAAACAGTGAAAACAACTAGTCTGTTTTTGGAGGCCCTTTGCTTTGTCGCTCTGCTCTCTTCCTGTTCGGTGCACACATCCCAGTTGTACAGCAAAGTACATAAAAATGATTACTGTGGTCTTGTGCTGTGCAAAAAAATTACATTTCAAACTACAAGACTGCTTTTGTCTTTCAGTTTCTCAGATTAGGTGAAATTTTTTCCCACATTTTCATCTAATTTTAATTAAATTTTGTTCAAAATTTTAATTTTATATTTATTGTGGAAGATTAAACATGGGATGGGTTTTGTTGTTCAGCTGTCTCCTGGCCCTGCAGATGTTAATCAAAACAGATTTTGCTCTGATCACTTCATATAAAACTTGTGGTTTCCTCAGTATTTTCCACAACGTGTTGTTCTTCAACTCAGTTTTCATCCTGATAAGATACAAATTTGCCATGAGAATGTCAGATGTATTTCTTACAGGCAGAAAACACAATCATCTGAGTCACTCCACATTTTGTAAAGTATATTCTCATATTTTCATCCAATTCGTGTCCCACTGACAGATCAATTTAGTCTTTCAGTGCCACCATCGAAACCAAAATAGAATTCGAAGTGCAAAGCATTTAAAGGCTATATTTCCACAGAAAGACCCGAAAAGATGAACTGTCCACTGCCTTGATGAAGAGGACAAAGAAACCAAGGTTGTTAATAAAAGCTGTGAGCAAGCAAAGACACGCCCAAAGTCCTCAACCTGAATAGAAGGGGCTCACACATGCACGTCTCTTTCACCGAGTAGTTCTCTAAAAGCAATTTAGATATTAACAGCTTTTTTTCCAAATAGTTTTCAGATTCATATTCCACTTTTTGTGCTGCTACTATACAAATGTAGAACAAACGGTGAAGTAACAAAACTATCCTCACATTAATAGTTGTGCTTTTAGGTTTGTGGCCATGAAGCAGGTGGGTGAACGAAGAAAACAGAACAAGAGGCAAATTACATTGACATATTTATATGCATATGAATAAAAATACATATACATATTTTACAGTATCTCTTGGCCGAGTTTGAAAACAGCCCAGACATAGAAGTAAGCCTTTTTAAATAAGTGCAAAATGTTAGAGACAAAGAACTGTAAAGCATATATAAAGACTTTTTTCTGAACTTTCCTTGTTTTTCCTGTTAAAATGACATGGCGCGGACATGGAGATAAGTTGTGCAAAGACCCATTTTTATACGTACATAGAGTTTGTTCGTAAGTAGGAGCTGGTGACATTAAGTAAACATTTACTGCTCAAAGAAAAGAAGTTATAGCCTATGCAAGAGCTCGGCTGTGCATAAAGAAAAAGTAAGCCAAGCAGAATGAGTCTTTAAAATAAAAGAACATTTCCACACAATCTCAAAGGGCTTTATCCATCAAGAAGATCATGATGCAGTGGTGAGATCCATAAGACCCTTATGTCTCTGAAAATGGCGGTCTAACCTGAACAGGTACAAGACGTCTCCGACCGCACACAACAAAAGCAACACTCCCACTCAGCTGGAGTGAGAAGAAAGTGTCGAAACGAAACTAAAAACACGAAGTTTTGTTTAACTGATGCAAGGATTCTACAAAGTTTCTTTCTGTTGTCTGAAGAGGGTGGCATCTCACTTCGTCTCCCTCAAACCGAACCACAGCTGCTTTCACAGTATCCTCGTATAAAACAGTAACTGCAAAATTACATTACAAAACACCACTGTACAGACACAATATGGAGCCAGTGCTGATTCTTAAGGTTCAGGAGAAATGTGGAGGGTAAGATTTGTAGCCACTGAACCACAGAGAGTTTCTTTAAGGTCTGATGTGTCCTGCATTTCACAGTGACCTAAAGATAATCAAAAATGTGATCATTTTCAAGCTGTTTTTGCTCATTAAAAGCTCATGTACCCACTATCAACTGGATCAAGTGTGGAGTGCAAAATAAACACAAAAAACTGAAACAAAAATTTTAAGTACTCCTGCAAAAAGTGTGGTTTTGCTTACAGTAAAGCACAGGAACAACCCTGTTGTGAGTACAGGAGAAGAGAGGGGTTTGTGAAAGGGTACATGGCCTAACATGAGAAGCGAGTCTCCTGACCTCTCAGCTCCATCTCTGCGCTCAATATTTGATGCCACAGTGTGTGAATTATGGATTGTGCTTATATAAAATAATAGTGTTCAACAACAGTGATGCTGCAAAGAGCTGTGTGTAGATAACAGCACTGCTTGGATCTGAACACAACAACAACAACAACAACAAATCACCAGCTACCAGTCGGCGCTGCAGGGGTGCCAAAAGGACCAGTAAGCCAACAGACTGGGAGATTTCATAGGTCAGAACCTCTCTGTGCACTCCAGGCATCTTCGGCTGGAAACAAGCTCGGCTTTTACTTGTAAGCGCTTTTTTTTTTTTTTTTTTTTTTGGACGCCCCTGGGGGGGTTTTTGTACAGGTGTCGAGTCCTCTTCAGCAAGTGTGAGAGAAAGAGATCAAGAAAAACATTAAACCTCCCAATGAGATGAAACCACGAAATGACATGAATAGATACATGGGAAAGTAAGAGGTGAAAATGAGGTGTATCAAACAGACGAGACGCAGAAGCCATGAAAAGGGGCTAAAATCCATCTGACATGTACAAATTGAGGGCAAACTGTTGAAACTGCAGGTTCTTGCATTTGAGCTTTGATTTTGTTTGTACTACAAGGAAACATATGGCAGCACACAGAGGAGGGGAGAAAAGCTCCACAGCTGATTCATCCTTGTTTGACCCTCAGCCTGCCCTGCGTTAACATATCTTGTCTGAATATACGACCACAGAGGAACATGCATCTCTCAGGAGGCTGTTCAGGTACTTTCAGTCAATCAGTGTAGCTGAAAAACAACTGAGGGTTTTTCTGAATACACCAACCCTACACCCTGATGATTTTGTAAACTATGGGAGGCTTGTCACTGCGGTTAATGTGTTAGCGAAATGGCTTTGTAAGCAAAAAAGGGAGATACAATAGGATGTATACAAACATAAAGTGCTTTCAATGAGGGGCAAGCAGAGGAAATTGTTTCTAACAGGCTGGGGTAAAGACTAACAGGAGTGAGAGCCAAATGTCATCATCGTCAAACACACAGAATCAATTTAAAGAAAAATGAACCATTAAAACGTTTGAGGTGATGCTGCAGCGTTTCGCATCGTAAACACATCCATGGAGTTTCCTACTGGGATTTCTTGTAATTGTGAATATGATGACTAGAGGCAACAGTGCTTATGCTGCGTTCATGTCATGTCATTTAAACTCTAATAACAAGCAGCTGAGGGGGAGAAATCAAGGATTTCTGACCCCAACAATATCCCCAACTCGGCAGAAAGGACTGCACAAGTGTCATCGTTAACTGGCTTCAAGACAACCATCACCAGCAGTTACACCTAATTTCACTTCTAAACAAACAAGAGATACATGACAAGCTACTGGCATTTTGTGGTCACACAAAATGAAAAGACATTATTCATGTTAAAGGTTAGCTGACAAATTAGTCTAATAACTAAAGGAGCCCAGCTTAAAAATGTTCCAGACAGTGACTGTAAAAAGTTATGTAGCCAAGACAATGTAAGACTTGGAGTAAACGTTACTTGTACTGTGTGGTTTCAAAATAAAATAACGTTATGTTTAACTGTAGTTAAGTAGTCTAGTCGCAGCAGACTACACTGTGGATAGCCACCATCTTGGACCACCGCGTGAACACTCCCAGGTAGTTTCTACAGGCCCTGACATGACATGAACGCAGCAACGTGATGCTGTCGCAAGCATTAAAACTTAGAAAAAGAAAAGAAAATGAAAGTAGTGGGCTAAAACAGCAGTAAACTCTACCGTTGTTCTGGCTCCTTGTCCCAGCTACAGCTGATCAATCCACCTGTTTCTCTGATTGTTTACACTGTGTTAAACTGTTAGAAAAAAAACAGCATTCACAATTTCTCAGTTGCTTGTTTTGTTCAACTAACACTTCAACATTAAGATATCCTGTTTATCTTCTTACAGCAAAGACGAGCAGAAATCGTCATATCTGAAGCTGAAACCAAACCAAGTTTTGGTATTTATGCTTAAAAAAGTGACAAACAATACACCACGTCGATCGACTAATGCACCACCTGTTGCAGCTCTAGTCCTGCCCACAGCTTTTTCGTTTCTAGCAAACAAAAATTTGCTCCTATAAATATAAAAATGCCCCAAACCTCAACCAGATTTAGTAAACAAGTGTCTTTTAGATGATGTCTCTAAGAGAAAACTGTGACATCTGTGAATCAAATAATGAAAAGTTAAAGCTACACTATGTAACTTCAAATAGCACTAGCATGAAACTCCAAATCAATCCACTGTGCTCTGCCAGTGCTGTTCAATGAGTCTGGGTCACAGGAGGATGTGACAGCACCTCTACACATTCAGACAAGTTTTAGAGCAGATTTCTAACTAAATCTTTTGACAAAAAAAAGTTACATACTGTAGCTTTAATCTTGGTTTAAATGCCATTTCTCTCAGCCTGACCTTGACTTGGTTCGGTGACTGTAGGGTTTCACCTCCAGTGCTTCATAAATGCTTTGGGAGAGTCTAACCCGCTTTCTTCTTTCATCTTATGCTCTTTATATTAAATTACCAAACCTAGATATGTGATCTTGCACCGTTTGCCCAGATCCTACCACGTTATTATTTCACACACAAACACAGCCAAATAAGAATTTACAAAAACTACTGCTGGACACCAAACAGACTGATATTAATAAGCTACAACTCTATTTTCTGTTTCTTCCATATTGTGACATCAACTAAACTCATACATGGCCATTTGTATGGGAATATGTCCAAACTGCTCTTCTCATTGAGACACTGGTTCAGTCTGAATTATCCGTGTCCAGTATTTTTTTTTTTCTGAACAGTAAATGAAGGCCAGTATAGAGAGAAAAACCACATGTACAAACTCACTGGACAAAATGTGAAGAGTCACTTAAAACCACAGCAAAGAGAGTGGTGATAAAACGTCTGTAAGGGTTCACGCAATATTCACACATCATTAAGTGTTTTTTTTTATGTTAATCTCATCACATTTTTGTCACCATTTTGTGTCCGTGTGGCAATTAGTACTGTGGCACAAAATGGCACATCTCATGAGTTCGTTCCTCCGTCTGCAGTCACACAAGTGTCAGACAGGCAGCAGGGTATGAGGCTGAAGACAAGTGCCTTGGTGTCCTCAAAGAGGAGGGTAAGCTTAAGAAACTGTCTTCTTCCCTCCCAGATCTGCTTCCTTCCTGTCCAGCCGCATGTACGGTTCAAAAGCTGAAGAACCACAGCCATAGGTGGATGTCAGTTCATGATGAGCGCTGCCCAGCAGCGGCATGGAGAAGCAGAGGGAGTGCGGCGGTGGCACGCCCAGCCGCGGTGAGGGCGGTGTGCCGCCCAGAGAGGGCAGCGACAGTCCAAAAGTCCCCCCTGGTAGGGAGCTGGAAGGAGTGCTGCTGCTGATCCCAGGAGAGGTGGAGGAGGCTCCGCCTGGGCTGCTTAGCAGGGAGCCATTTGCTGGGTGAGGCGGAGGCCCTAAGAGAGCGTTGGGAGGAGGCGCGGGGCCCGACAGGAGGCGGCCCTGTTCCAGGAGCCGCAGGATGTTGCAGGTGGCCAAAGACTCAGACGTGGAGGAGGAGCGTTTGTCTGAATCCTTGGTGGTGTCTTTCTTCTGTTTGGTGCGACGGTTTTGGAACCACACCTTGACCTGCAACAACACAACCAGGAAGAAAGATTCACATAGCCGCTTTTGTCCAACACACAAACTTCAGCAGTGGTAGAACCTGGGAAATCAGAAATGAAAAGGTTTGAAAATGTTACACTCCTGTTATTGTGGAGTTGATAAAGGTGTGAACATTAAATCCTAAATTTAAATTTGTCAGTGAAACAACAAGAGAAACGTTTAAACCATGTGGGATCACCAAGAGCACAAAGTACATACTGGTTACCATGGCCATCAGTTGCACAGGTGAAAGTTTTTTCCCCCACACAAACAGCCAACTTTTCACAATTCTTCACAGACACCCAGTAATCTAATAAGTGGGGATTGGCAGCAGAGGACTTAAAAGGAAACTCCTGTAACAGCAGAAGTGCATAAGCCTGTAGAGGGTCTGTGGTTTAATTTAATAAAAATGTTTCATAACCTTTTACTGGTGGCACAACAACCTGATGACACACACATACACAAATCATCTAATAGATATAAGGGGACTGGGCTGATGCTGATCAGGTCAGCTGGTGTTAGCTACAGTATCACCACACTGTACAGGGAGGCTCAACAGGCAGCTAGGGAAAGTGAGATCATAGCTTCAGCCACTGACCACGACACAAATAATGGGATCTGGGAGGATCACACAGCTCAGGGAGGAACACTGACGCCAGCACATCTTATTGCAAAGACCCAGAAGAGGCACAGATGGAGGGATAGCGGAGATGGAGATAAGAAGGGAGCAATGACAGGAGGGTGAGATAAGCAGCAGGAACAGTCTGCACATCTGCTTTTCCTTCCTCTTTGTTTATATTTGGTCCTTGTGAACTCACTCCCGTCCTCTCTAAGATCATTCTCGGTATTTTACTCATGAGTCACTGCCTGCCAAATATACATCCCATAAAAGGCTTTCGCTACACCTCAACTCCCAACCAATCCCTTCTCTTTATCCCAGTGCTGTGGTTCAGTCTTCTGTTCACATCACAGTCCTCATGACCAGTGCCAACAAAAAAAGGGACAGGAAAAAAAAAAGGTTTGTTGGTGTTTGACAGGGATTTTATTAGGGGGGGAAATGATGAGGAGAGAAGAAAGCAAAGCTGTCTTTGGTGCATCTACACTACTGGATGTAAATCCGTTTTAATGGGATCCAGGGTTCAGAGATGGGGCAGAGATTACCAGGGGATATCTGGATGTGGCGTGACCTGCATCTGACCTGGCCTCGTCCCACCTGCACCGTGGCCTGTCGGGGTGAGGCCAAGTGTGGCTACAGCCTGGTGAAGAGGTCAGGACTCACTCAATGAAAACTCTCTTCCATGGTGATTGTTCCAGGCGTACCAGCGGCCATTAAGCTGCATGTAACAGGCCAATGGATAATCAACTATACTATTCCTGTAAGTAATGTATGTAATGTCTGAGTTCTCTACAACACCTCCATACGATGACTGTTTCATCCCTCTCATTACTCTCCACCTGTCTCGCCTCTTACATCCTTCAAACCTGTGCAAAAATCATCATCACCATGATCACATTTCACCTGATCTAAACTCCACCCCCCCCCAACTCCTCCTCACCTAACCCCACCTCAATAAACCTGAAGTGCTCCTTCATTGCTGCAGCACATGTCCGGCCAGGTTCAGCCAGGGGTTAACCCCGTCTTAAAGAATCCATGGTAGATATGCCTGCCTAATCCTCCTTAGCGCAAAAGCACTTGGACTGTTATGAGGCCCACCTTTCTCTCTTTCTCTCCTGTCCCATCCATTCACTGCCCTCTTTCCCCATACCCAGGTGAACCCCTCCAGGTTTAGATAACAGCTTTGCCCTCCTCCCTTCACAGAGATGTGCTGCACTGTTTTGCCAAAAAAAAAAAAAAAAAAAAAATCCAGCAGAGCATCTTTTGCTGGAAAAGTATGTCATCCCGTAGTCACTTGAATCACCTCCGCCAAAAAAAACCATCTAGCCCCAGGTCCTTGCCACATAGGTCACGCCCAAAGCGCTGACTAAGCCAAGAAAGACACTTTTAGGAATCATATTTGATTTTCTTATTGCTGGCAAAAGAAAAACACAAAGGTCTTAAAAGTTTTAACACTGACGAGACTCATAAGTTTGAGATTCTTGAGTATTCCCCCCCCCCATGACCCTCATTAGGATAAGTGGTATAGATAATGGATGGAGGGACACTTCTTCTATATTTGTGTGTAGAATACATATTTTTTACAACTTAAATCTGGTCTATAATAATATTTTTGATGGTTTATGACTAAAGATTTGCACACTTTTACAGGACACCTGTCATTTGTCATATATTTTGGATTCCTGGCACCTTTAGACATTGCTAAATTGACAGAAGGACAATTCAGATTCATAGCCAAGTTTGTGCTTAAACTATGACACTGTGGATAACCGGTGAGTAGACCTTAAAAGGTGCTGAACAAAGATAAAAATGAACAAAATCAACCAGGATTTGAATTTTTTTCTCCACCATTGAACTTTGGCTCTATAAATAAAACAGTTTTTCTTGCGTAAGCTGGTGTGAGCACATGGTGAGGATTTGGCATTCCCTTTCCACTGTAAGCTCCCACACACCAGTTTAATTGCATTAAATGAATGACACAAACCGGCTGCATGACCGCACTGATTGTCCTGGCATCTTCTGGTCACACTCGAGGCCCTCTGAGTGTATGGGTGCCTGTGGTTTTGTGCGCTGTTGTTCGTCAGAGAGGAGAAGAGAAAAGTGAAAACCTCTTGTATCCAATTTTGCTGATTTTCCAGTTTTCACATCAGTTAAAGATTACATGCTCCTCCATATGTTTGGAAAATTACACCATCCTTGTTTGACAGACACGCACACTTCACTCTGCCACAGGCTGATGAAACAAGTCACTTCAATCTGTGAAAGTGCTTAAAGACAAAGACAGCTAAGAAGTAATTGTTATGTTCTTATTACCTAATCAGTTGATTAGATAATCAGACTCTCACAGGTTTCTTTCTGACTGTCATCGAATCAGACAAAAGCTCCCAAAGGATGATGCTCTTGCTTTAGGTCACCGTGGACTAAAGACTTTGTTTCTTTACAACATGAAGGCCAATCATTTTAACCAGAAGCACAGAGCAGCAAGTGTCCATCCAGCCGTATGACTCCCTTGCTATTCAGATGTCTCTGGACAATCTCAGAGTACTGTGCGGCCTCCTCTGCTGCACACCTTTACGTCACGGCCATCTCTGCAAGCAGCCAGGCGGCATCTGCCTGGGCCATCATGGAAAAGAACACACACAATGAGGACATTCACTGTACAACCAGTGTCATCTTTCCTCAGTCTACTGAGGGAAACTGGTGGGATTGTTCCTACAGTATGTAATACTGAACGGAGCCTTTTTATGTCTTTTGAAATGTCATACCGACAATTATTTTTATCACATTGTACAAATTCTTCTAGGTGTATTTCACAAGTAGTTAAGAATGAATTTAGATTCCCCAGGTTTCATAAGAGGAGGTCACCAAATCTGTAAAGAGCCTGTTTTTAATTAGCTTGTTGCTCTGCTGGTAATATTAATAATAATGGATTTTAATTATAGAGCACTTGTCAAGATGCTTTACACCACATGTTTAAAAGATCCTAGGAACTAAAAGCAAACTCGAGGTGGAAGCTGGACAATACTGCCTGACAATATCTGACCTCCAACCTCCCTGTGGTGTAGAAATCCACAAGTACAAATACAAGACAGCGTCATCTGAAAGTTTTCTAAGCTTTCAGTAAACTGTGCATGAGGCTTGTTTGGTATCAAGAAACCATCCATCTAAAAGACAAGACGAGAGCCAGGGCATGAAAGGGAGGGTGACGCTGATCCCAGAGGCCTGTCAGAGGACAACGGTGTCACACCAAGGTGGGCGACGCTCTAAAATCAAACCAGACCTACTGATGCAGGAACAAGCAACACATTATGAGCCATCTCCAAAGAAAAAATGTTATATTACTGCTCTTTCCAGCTGATTTTTGATCACCAGTTTGTGACCATTGACTTAAAAGTTGGTTTCAGACTAACATGAATGCACCAACTTCACATTCAAATACAAGAATATAAATCTCTAACAAACTAGGAGTCTAGATAATAATATTGTAATCATGTAAGTAAGGCTGGAAGCCAATAACAGCCACAGTTACACACACCTCATGAGCTCTGGGAAAGTGCAAGTCTGCAATTGTGTGCTTAAACTCTGCAACACATACAATATTTTGCATTATTGCAATCTAAGTATTTATCCTTGTTAAAGTCCCAAATAGATTTAAAAATATATTTCAGACCCTGTTAAATGTTTAAGAAGTTAATATGGCCACACACACGTTTCACTGAATTCTCCGGAAGTCAAACTGAGAAGCCAGCTGGAACAAGCAAGTCTTGCAAAATAAATGAATAAATAAATTAAAATGGAGAGAGAGAGAAAAGTTTTATGCTGCAAAATCCGGAAAAAAGTGTCCACAAAATTTTACAAATACAACAAAAGAACCTTACAAAGCAACTCGAGATTAAAAGTAATTATATTTGTCCTTCTTAAATTTACAGAGAATTACACAGAAAAACACAGAAGTTGCCTCTGGAGTCATTTACTCCAGTCGCAAAACAGTCCAAGCAACAATGCAGCAGGGAGTCCACGACATAGCTTTACAATAAGAGCTGAAGTCGCCTGAACATCCGTCAGTCCTCTATCATCTGTGGCCATTGGGGAGCAAACTGGCCATAAAGGTAACTGAAGTGAACCGGGGGGGGGGTTGTCTGGTTGTGCGTGTGCATGCACATTGCACACCACCACCCTCTCCTGCTGTGTTATCCTGTAGCGGGGAGCCACCTGCCGGGTTGAAGGCAAAGCTCGGAGCTGGTAACAGATTACTGAGTAACGCGTTACAGCAGAGTAGCGACTCGGGACAGAAACAGTTACCGAGCTGCAGCTTTTCAGAGACGAGCAGGTTTCACACGTGTGTTTGGACGCCTGTTGAATATGAACTTTAACTTATACGCATTTTGTTTGAGAATAGGACACAAAAAAGATCCGTTGGTGTATTTTAAAGATGCGCCCACGTCAAGAAACACCAAAGGGTAGACCGAGGTTTTCCACACCTACTGCGCTGCCTCCAAGTATGAACTCCACCTAGTTCTACACACTTTTACCCTGATTTCTTATATTTATTCATCCATCCTGTTTATTGAAGGTCTTGGATTTAGACTTTGCTGAGTGAGAAAAGAAAAAATACCAAAAATGTTGCGCTAAAATCTCCATGAACTCTTTTGGAATAGGATAAGAGTGTAATAATTTAACGCAGTTCTGTAAAAATCAGTCTTTGCTCCACCCTTTTCCAGGATTGTTTAGTAAAACCGTCCTTTTGTGTGCGTGTGTGTGGCCATGTGTGTCTGCTGCTGACACCTGACCAAACCAAAGATGTCTGGCGTTTAATTCTTACTTTAATTATTGCATTTTTTCTTCAAATAAAATGGCGAGTTCATTTGTTTGTGATTTAAGTTGAACACAAGTAAAACTTTTTGTCAAATTTCTGGGTTAAAGTTCAAGTTGAAGGCTCCTGTATTAACTTTGCTGAATATGAGTTTGACAATGTTTTATACACAACGACGGTGGAAAGAAAAAGCCAGAACGAACCATCCTGTTTATTGTTATTACCGAGATCAAAATGCCAGTTTTAGTAGTTGCATGGCCATTTCCAGATGGAATTGAAATAAAGCAGAGAATACAGTTTCCAAATGAGAAAAACTCAAATTTGTGTCTTGACTAAAAGCTTATTTCATACACTGGCCTTATGAAATAAATCCTAGGCTACAGTCTGTTTTGCAAACCTCCAAACCCGAACGAGCTGAAAACCAAAGCTTTAAAACAGGAGAAAACAGGAGCATAATTGTATAAAATGCTTTTAAAAGTGTAAAAACATTCCAAAAAAAGTAAAAGAAATGGTGGATGGATGCTCAGGAAAAAAAGCTCTAGTTTGTAGCCTCATTTTTTAGATGGAAATCAAAGAAACTCCTGGAAAATTGGTGAAACCTTGAGTGGCCAACTAAAACCCATCAACAAACTCTGAAAGCCGCCTTAAAAAGGACCTGCAGCTTCGAGCTTCCGTCTTTTCCTTCTGTGATTCTGCTCGATTTGGCCTTGAACGACGCATCTGCTTAAAATATGCAAAAGGCACAAACATGTCATAATAAGAAGGAAAACTCCACTAATGCCAACTAAAAGCCTTTCAATCGTGCTTAAAAGCTGCCTCTATAGCAACATGGCATTAGGAAAGGTCAGTGCAATGGATTTAATATTTCACGCCATTACCGAGGAGACTTTCATTATTTATATTTTGCTCTGGCTTGA